GGCCGGAAGTGACGCGCGCCGTCGCCATGGAGCTCCTGGGGGAGGCCGCCGTGCGGGACCCGCCGCCGGCCCGGCTCCCCGGCGGCTTCTGGGCGGCCGTCGGCGTCTGGCTGGAGAAGCCGCACGTGGCCAACAAGCGGCTCTGCGGCGCCCGCCTGGAGGAGGCCCGGGTCCGGCCCCGGCCCGGCGGAGAGGAGGAGGAGGAGGACGCGGAGGGCGGCGGCTCCGCGCTGGACGCCGCCTGGGAGGCCCTGTGCAGCCCCGAGTGCCGGCGGGAGTGCCGCGCCCTCGGCCTCCTCGCCGCCGCCGCGCCCCTGGCCCGGCCCGAGCGGGTGGTGGTGCTGCTGCGCACCCTGCTGCCGAAGGGGGGGAGCCGCCCCGCCCCCGCCGCCCGGGAGATGGTCGTCAAAGGTGAGGCCGAGGGCTGCCTGGCCCGGGGGTGGTCGGCCATGTGCCCCATGAGAAAGCCCGGGAAGAGCCGCCTCGGGACGGCGGCCCCTGCAGGAGAGCGGAGGGGCGGGACGGATTGGCTAGTTTTGCCAACAGACCTGGAGGGAAACGCCTTGTGGGAAAGGACAGGGGACACCTTGCATGGCATGAAGCAGGTAGATAAGGGTGGGGGCAGCCCAGGGGGCGGGGGGCACATGCAACAAGCCCCACCCCCTGCTCCCCGCAGCCCTCAGTCAGAGCAAGAAGCAGCCAGGTAAGCTGCAGAGCCAACAGGTCCAAAACAGTCCAGTGGCACCTTTAAGGCCAGCTTTTATTCAGGTACAAGCTCTCCCTCCTCTGCAAGGGCAGATCTGCACTAATAGCTAGCCATCCAAAACAGTCCAGTGGAGCCTGCCTGAGCGGTGGGTGTTGCCTTCTGACACACTTCCGGTGATGTCAGGGGGTGTGGCCTATGTAAATAAGTTATGCTAATAAGCTCCTGCACCTCTTTTTCTACGAAATGACCCCTGGGTGGGGGGAAGAAATAATAAAATTGATCTGCCCTATGGAGTGGTTGTAAAGGATTACCGCAGAATAAAGTAAAGACCTAACTCTACAATGTTGAGCAAAAGCTGAGGGTTATGAAATTATTGTACTTATACTCGCCTTTTAAAGGTTAGCAACGTGTAATAAAATTATTGTCAATCTTTACAGATATCTGTAATGGGACTGTGACCTTTGTGCCGTTGGAGCAAACCCATGAAGTAAAATGCGAGATCAAGAAGTGCAACATTTATCAAATTAAACTTGTGCATACAAAAGATGATGAATGGTGAGTTCTGGGAAAAGTCCTCATCCGACCTTCTCTAGTTTTTCTTTTTCTCAGATTTTTAAGGGGATATAGAAAGAAAAAAAGGAATAAGGGAAAACCATAGGAAATATAATTACAAAAAACATAATGTAAGGGCAATTGTACAGATATTGAGGGAATTCCTTGATCAGAATACATGACTAAATTTAAAAAAATGTGTAAACAAATTTTTTTAAAAAGGCAAGCTGTGTTGGTGATGACTCACCTGCTCTCCCATTGGCCACTGGGGAAGCTTCCTTGGTGTCCTATTGGCCTGTCCCGCCACTTCCTCCATTCTTAGACCCCCATACTCGATGCATTGCACCTTAGGAGTTGTAGTTCTCAGGTGGGTATTAGAACTACAAAGGGAATTAGAACTATAACTCCCAAGTTGGGAGTCCCAAGGGGCCATGGGGCATTAGCAGGGAGTCAGTTAAAGTGTTAAACAGGAAGCAGCTTTGGAATTGAAAGGGGTTGGGTGGGGGGGAGGAAGGCCTGGACATCTGTCTGAATTACAATTGATCTCCAGGCTACAGAGATCAGTCCCCATGGAGAACACGGTTGCTTTGGAGGGTGAGCTCTATGGCATTATACCTTATTGATGTCCTTCAACAGACCTGGCCCTCCTGTTAATATTGCCAGCCTCCAGGCGGCACACAGAGATCTCCAAGATCACTTCTCCTGGAGTCAATGGCTGCTTTGGGCTGTGGACTCTATGGCATTATACCCTGCTGAGGTCCCTCCCCACCCCAAACCCCGCTCTCCCCAGGTACCCCTCAAAACTACAGGGTCTGGCCCTCCCCTTAATATTGCCAGCCTCCAAGCGGCACCCGGAGATCTCCAAGATCAGTTCTCCCGGAGAAAATGGCTGCTTTGGTCAGTGGACTCTGTGGCATTATACCTTGCTGAGGTCCCTCCCCACCCCAAACCCTGCCCTCCCCAGGCTCTACCTCTCAAATCTACAGGTATTTCCCAACCCAGAGTTGGCTACCCTGTACCTTGCTACGGAACCACTTTCCAGACCCTTGGAACCCAGAAAGCATGGCATAGGAGGAGGTGCTTTTCTACCTTAGCTGCCACTGCATAGGCCCACCCAAATCAACATAAGTCATGAAGAGAAGAAGGAGAAAGAAGAAGAAGAGATTGGATTTATACACCACCTGTCTCAGAGTGGCTTACAAACTCCTTACAAACACCCTGTGAGGTAGGTGGGGCTGAGAGAGCTCTTTCAAGAACAGCTGTGACAGAACTATGGCTTGCCCAAGGTAATTGAGCAGCTGCATGTGGAGGAGTGGGGAATCAAACCCGGTTCTCCCAAGTTAGAGTCCACACACGTAACCACTACACCAAACTGGTGGAGCAAAATTACTTGAGACAGCCCTGCCTTATAGCTAAGCAGAAGGAAATAAACATGGTTCATCTCCCTCAATTTTCCCCTTCTCTCCACTGCCCCACCAGCCACAGCCAGGACACTTACCTGGAGCCTCTTTTTGGAGCTTGTTGTATTTCTTATATATATTAAGTATAGCATTATAGCTTAACAAATATATAACACAATAAATATGGCATAATGGTATAAGAATATAGCTATATCTCTCCTTATATATAATTGAGTAAGAACATTCTATATGAACATTCTAAATTTGGCCCCTTTAGTGTTAGGCCGGAAAAACTGCCACTCAGAAGAGACTGGCTGGGTTGACTGGCTGCTTTGTGCAGTCCCGCCCAGCGTTCCAAGGTTATTTGCATATGGAAGCTGATTGGACTACACTCCATTCCACACCTCAAACTCACCCCCCCCCCGCAAGGCAGTTGGGATTTTCAGTTGCATAACATACCTCATAGGGAAGAGGAGAATGATGTCAGCTGCCCTTTCCCTAGGCAGAGGCTGTGTTGGGGGGGGGTTCTGCCTCGCCGGCCCTGGCGTTGGGGGGGAGGGGAAGGGTCGCCGCGGCCAGAGGCCTCTGCCTCGCTGGGCCAGGCGTTGGGGGGGTGGGAGGGGAAGGGACGTCGTAGCCGAAGGCCTCTGCCTTGCCGGGCCTGGCGTTGGCGGTGGGGTGGGAGGGGAAGTGACGCTGCGGCCGGAGGCTTCTGCCTCGCCGGCCCTGGCGTGGGGTGGGTGGGATGCGAGGCCGATGCCTCCGTCGCCCGGCCGAGATTGGGGGGGTGAGGGCAAGGCAGGCAACGGAAGGCCGATGCCTTCATTGGCTGGCCGAGATGGGGGGGGCGAGGCAGGCGACGGAAG